CAAATGATCCTCCTGTACATGAAAGCTCCTTCCAAACGCAGCCCTTCGCTGGTCTGTAGGGCTACCGTAATTCAGTAACAGAGCTTGAAGAGCCACAAACAGTTCTGAAAACAGGGGGTTGACCTTTTACTTTCCATCATCCATTTAAAAGAAGCGGCCAACTATGCCACAAGTGGTGATCACTGCTGCTCTAACCCACCCGCTGTCCACAAGAGTTAAGAAGAATATGTCTTCGTTTCCAAAGTTATTTGACAGGTTGCATTTTTATATGTCTAAAGAGGAGAGAAAGGCCAGATTTCACAGTGTACTTGTACTAAACCCCTTCTTTAGATTTCATCTTTCCTAGAAGGCATCTTTACAATGTTACAAGTACACTTGGCATGAGTATCTTAGGCACCCTTAGAAGGAATAAAATAAACCTGAAACTCATGAATTGGTGAAAACCGTCAGTAATGCAAAATATGACTGATTGTTGTGTCTTAAACTTCTTAAAACTTTATTGGCATTTCACACTATTAAATTACAGATTAGTACATCACCATAAATACACAAAATCAGAGAAGATGCAGATCATCAATGTTTAGGTTGTTACAGTGTACCTTACCTCTGTGTTTGCCTTGTATGAAATTTACACTTCAGCTTTATTTAAAAGCTTTTATTGGGTAACTTGTCTGAAATAAGCGGTGTGTTTCCTTTTCAGCTGACCCCCTGGTTGGAAGCATTGCCACTCAGTATATGACTAACAGAGCAGAGCATGACAGAATGGCCAGACAATGGACCAAAAGATACGCTACATAAATTGGATTTTCGTCAAACTCTTACATTATTTGTCTGTGATGGAAAGAGCTGCTTATGATTTTGAAGGGGTGGGGGGGTGGGAGGGTGCTGGTAAAGAGTAGGGTATTTCTATAACAGATTTTATTCAGTCTTTTATTTCCTAAGATTTTGTTGTTGTAACTTAAGGTATCTTGCTACAGTAGACAGCTAGGATTTGGAATAGCATACTTTAAGACTGTAATTAGTTCAGCAATATTAGCTCACATATAGTACCGAGAAGAATGTAAACTTCTTAGACTTCTTTGGTTTTCAGTTTGCTTGCAATATGTAAAAGATTAAAACAGCTTAATTTTGTACAGGTACATAGGTTGACATTTATGTAAAAGTCCTTTCAAGACTCTACACACTGTTTCTGCTTTTTGTTTGTTTGGGTTTGAGGGATTTATTTTGTTCTGAGTTGAGTTTCTTTTTTTTTTTTTTTTTTTTGTAAAAAGATGTTGGAATTGTTTTTCCCTATGGAGGGCACATTGGTATTTAACAAATCCTTTTTAAAGACTGTCATCTCATGATCTGTGATATGGAGAGGTGGATATATGGCCTCATATATTAAATGAGAAGTAGTTAATGTATTATTTTATAAGCCAATCTATCTTTGTGAAAAGAATAAAGGGTTTAATCAGGACTTACGGTAACCTGTAGTGAAATACCTTAAGCTGTTTAACTGTAAGGTGTGGAATAGGAGTCACTCAGTGGATTGGTTGTATGTTGTGGGCTACTTAAGTCTGCATTTGTTACTGTGCTAATAAAAAGATGTTTAAAAAATAGAAAAAAAAAGAAGAAGAAAAGATTTCTGCTTAGTCCTTTGTCATTTTGCCAGAATGGTGTCTCTGTAAGCTTTGGAGGATTTATGCTGTGGTTAAGGACAAGGGAGATCTGCAGGTGAGTGCACTGACTGCTGCTATTTTAGGAAGACACTTCTAGACAACCACACAGTGAATGACAGCATAAGACCTTTACAACTGTTCACTAGGTGTTGTGCAGGGACCTGGCCATGAGGAGGTAGCTTGCCACAGAGTCCACAGTAGATACTTTTTAGCTTAAATTTTCACAGTGTTGCCTCTGCAGGACTGACATGTTGTTTGAAAGTACAACTAGAAAAGTGTAAGCTATCTGGAACGGAAAGAGGCAGGAAGTAAAAGGAAGAAAAGAATGTCTTGATGCTTTTCTGGTGGAGTGGTCTATTCACACCAGGACACACTAGGAATCGGTCCTGGTAAGGTAGCAGACAATACTGTAAAGGAGTATCTGTACATCCTTTAACTACCTATAAAGATTATCTCCTAGAGACATAGTGTTTGCATTGAGGTGTGTAGCAACAGGGCAGTTAATCGTGGGTATGGCATTTCTGACCACTCCCTTAAGGTAAAGGCCGGAAGCACAGATTCATTTTTCATGGCAAGTGCTTCACCTCGCGACATTCTCGTGAGTGCAGGGTGGTCACCTGCGCTCTCAGACTTGGCTTGGTACTTTAAATAAATTCTGTTTGTATTTAATTTACATATTCTCTTCCTATCTAGATACAAAGCAAATCTAACTTGGCCCAAAGTAATCTGTTAATTTGAGGTGTTCTTTCCCTCGCTGGGTGGGTAGTAGCACTGTACCCCATCAGCTGAACTGCTGTCATTTGACACAGTGCATGTTTTGGTGTATGAACTCCCTCAGCTGTTTACCTGTTTGGCACATAGCTACATCACACTAGGAGCACCTCTGGTGATCTTTCCTTCTCCTCTACTGAGTAAAGAGGTAAATGGCTTAATCTCAGTAGTTTTTTGCCAGCTTCTTTCTTTGTACCACCAGGACATGTCAAATTAACTGTTGTAACTGGTGGGGGCGAGTGATTTGTACAGTGTTTATTCAGCAGGGTAGAGGCTTTAGAGGAATAGAGAAAGATGGTTTAGTTTACTAATTTGTTTTTCTTCATTATAATAAGCTTTTTCCATTATCTCGTGAAGTGACTCTGGTTTTGCAGAAGGTAAGTGATCCCAGTAACCTAGAACAGGGTTTGAGTCAGTGGAACAGGAAGAACGAAATAAATGTTCTGCCCATTAGCTACTACATTATACTCTGTACTTTGCTTATTTGCCCTGTGTAAAACTCTACTACAGCAAGTTTCATTTTTACTCAGTACCAGCCACTGTGTGCATATCATTTGCAGAGGAGACACTAGATTTTCCATCACTTCTCAGTAAAACACTATGATATTTAGAAAAACATCAGAGTAAGTTTATGAAAGAAAATGGTGGTGATTTCTTTTTTTATCTGAATGCCTCGAATTATTTAAACTCTACATTTAGCCAAATCAAAGAAAATGTGTTTGCCTTTATGTAGCCTATTTGGAAAAATTACCTTAGTCATTTAGAAGATACTGTTTCTCTTGCCTGTTTTAAAACACTGTCAAGTCCTGGGAGTCCAGTGGAGCAAGTGAGCAAGCTGCACTTGCACTGCACAGCTCTGGCAGCCTACAGGTGACATCAGTCTTGGCAGAAGAATTGGCACCAAGTCTGCAGCATGCAGAGCTGGACAGGAACCAGTCATCCCCATTCTTTCCATCTCCAAGCATTTTAAGTTCATTCTGACTTGTCAACCTGCACTCCCTTGGCTCAAGGTCAGCTTTAGTGATGTGCTGTTAGTAGACATCTTCACTTATTTTGATTTTTGATTGATCCAAGGGTGATTCAAGTCCCTTCCAGAAGGGTTCTGCAGAGCTGAAGAAGAGGAACATGACCCCTTCCTTGGTAAGAGGTTGCAGTGAGGAGGGGAACCACTGCTGCTCTGAAGTCACCTCCGCTTCCCAAGCATGCAGGCACATACGGAGCCTTCTGGGTAGAGAGAAGCCTGGAGTACACGTGTGTTCAGTAGGAAATGAGTGAGGAGGGAGTGTCATCCTGCAGCATCGCTGGGGACAATGACTCTTACTGGCCAGGTGCACAGAGGTCGTGCTATTGTGCTTACTCAGCTGCGGTGTGGAAACAATTGTATGTTCCTAGCAGGGCATTACAAGAGCTTGCTCATTCATAATTGCTCTCTTATCTTATTCCTTGGCCACAGCAATGCAAACTATATTGAGCAAAGCACATAAACAGTTTCGTCTACCTTCATTATAATGGTAGAGATTCCTGTTTAATTTTTAGTGAAGTGTACTGCTGCTCTGACATTAATAATGTTGACAGACTTTAGTAATGCTGACAGGCTTTATTAATCAGTATTCAGGAAGAGCAATACTATGAGCTTAATTGTGATCATTAAGCACACTATTTAGCAGTCATGATATGACAGTGCAAATAATGCTTGTGGTTTTGCTGATTCACAGTGAAATTCTCAGTATTTGTTCAAAAGAGGATTAATTTAGTGGAAAATACAGAAACTGGGTACTTCCTCTCTCTTCTCTTGCCTTCAAATATAAAGAAAAGCTAGCATCAATTAGTACAGGAGGTTGTTAGATGCCAAAAACTGGTCCCTGTCTCTGGGAAAAGTTGCTCATTCTGTCGCTCTGTATATCCCCTTTTGTTCAGTTTACTGCCAGGCTGGCCTGGGACAGCAGATTTCTGCAGCACACAGGTTTGCCAGGCAGAAAGGCAAGGCAGCCTTCTCCAAAAAGGCAGGCAGACTCCTATCCTACTTAGCCCCACCTGCAGAGTCATACAGTGCTTTGTTCCAGCTGCTACTTGGCCTAGGGAGGGTGGATTGCTGCAGCTTGCTTGAGCAGCCAGGTAAGCATGCCCTAAGCAGAGCCCAGCTTATACAAAATTAATCCATATCATTCTCAGTAAAATGACCACCTGTGGGAATGTGGGACACCTGTGGGATTTGTAGTGGACATACTGGAACAAGCCCACAGCTATGTTGTCCTTAGGTTGTTGTTCAATCAGTGAGTGCTCTGAGAGCTGTTCTGGTTTCCACAAATGAATTCCTGACCTGAAAGCACTGCTTACTAGACTTTGTTGACAAGGTTCATGTTGGGGTATTTCCCAGAAGATGTGTGGGATGTTTTTTTTTTTCTTCCAGACACTAGCAAAACATCAGCGACTAAATCTGGTAATTGTTCCTCCTGCTCTATATCCTTCTCCTACAGCAAGACACTGATCTCAGCCTCTTGCAGCACCAAAAAGCCCTGTGGCCCTGTTTAAGGTCAAGGTAAAAGAATTGTTGCCATTTCAAATATATCACCTTTCCAAATTGAATGCTTTATTGCAGCTAATACTTTTTGTGACTACAGGCTATAGATGTGCAGGGGGATTATATACTGGTAAGCTTGTTGATTTGTCCCTCAACATGGCTGTATCCAGGCATAGTAAAAGCCCCTGCTAGAGAGGTATCCATCTAAAACTTCCTCCTCCATAACCCTGACTACAAAATAACTGCTCTCCTAAAGTGCTTTTTGAGGCTTTTACCACCAGCAGCCTTTCCAAGCCAAGTCTATGAGAAGGAAGGATACCTCTTAGCTATAAGCTTGCTGATTTTATTGCTGAATGATATTATTGCTTTAAGTGAAACTGCAAGAAGCAAATGGCACAAAAAGGACTTAGACTGTGACCTGGCAGCAGGAGACAATGCTAAGCTAGTCTAGTTTTCACAGTTATTCCCTTTGCTCTTCCTTCCAGGCAAGGGAAATGTTGATTTGTTCTGGGACTGCGACAGTTTGCTAGCTAAGAAGGTGAAGGGTTCAAGCAGTGTTTTCCGATCTGTCACAGTCACTTCCCACAGTCTCACTTTCTCAGCCCTTGCCCATTGCTGTGCTGCTTCTGTTTCCACTTGCCTTTGGTCCAGGAGGTCAGTTTTGTTCCCCAAGACAATAACTGCAACCTACAAACCAAACAAGAGGGTGAGCTTGATACCAAAAGCATCCACCAGTCACCATCCTTTTAAACAGTGGACAAGCAGCAACACAGTTAATTCTTGTTCTGTAACTTAGCACTGGCACAAAGTAAGTTGCATGTAGATTGGAATATCAGGGTCTGGGATTTGAATTAGCTTCATCTACTTATGGATGGGAAGCTTGTTTTAATCATAGGATATGCAGGACTTCCCCTTCTTGATACCCCACTCTGGCCCTCAATGATTGCTTGAAGGGAAACAATAGCCAAGAGATCCAAAGTTAAACAGCCCTATTCTCCACTTACTTGGCAATTGAGCTGCCCTAGACAAATGATAAGAGCATGACATCCGAGTAGGTCACAGCAGCAGATGCTTGAGAGATGAAAAAATGCACAGCAGCAGAGAAGGCCTGGATCCCACAGTGGTGGATTTTGCCCGATTTGTTTCTTTCCCAAGCCCCATCCCATAACAAAAATAAAGCCAACCGTGCCAGCAGCCCGGGCAGGCTGGGCTATGGGGCCCCTCTCCCAGTTCAGCCCTGCTGGCTGCCCAGCCCCAGACACCAAAAGCCACCCCAAGAGCTGAAGGGGACAGTCTGCTGAGAGGGACAGATGAGCACCAGCAGCATCCTCTGGGGAGCAGTTTCAAGAGCAGATCTGCAGTTGTAAGGATGCATCCAGTGACTTGTGTCACTGTCACCCAGACAGTCCAGCGTGGCTGAGCTCAGTAGGTACATGAAGCCGTCCCAGTGCTTCAGCTCTAGGAAGTGCCAAAGGCAGTGCTGGCCATGTGAAGCTACCTCTCCTTATTTTAAGTTAACTGTTCTCTAAAAATGTTTTACCAGCACCAGCTCTTAGGGGGAAACCATGCCTACATTTTTAGTTCAAGGTCCTTAGTCAAACTCTGTTTTCATCTCCACACTAGTGGCTTGACAAAGATCTAGTGATAAAGTCCTCTCCTGATGATGATTTGTGGGGTTTGCTGTGGCCACACTTGCTTGCTCTTTCCTGTTCAGGCTAACTCCAGAATGACTTCTGCTTCTTTCCAGCTAGAGATATTTGTCCTGTTCCTGTGAGGTCTGAGACTTCCTTTCTTTTCTACAGCAGTCCCAGGGTGTTTGGAAAAATGCTGCTTTGGGGTATTTTCCCCCTCTGTGAAGGCTTTGAAAGAAGCTATAATCTTCATGTGTATTTACTGCATGCTCCATCTGAATTTTAGCTATGGTAAAGCTCTGTCAGTGTAACAGAACAAAACCTCTATTTAGTATAAAATTTGGCCAGGCTTTCAGGTGTGTGCTGGAGAGCCCCCACAGCCAGCAGAGGCAAGGAACCAGCCATCACTGCTTTCTGTCATCTGCCACACAACAGGGGACTGTGCCACTCAACGAGTTGAAGTTCTGCCAGCTCAGAAGAACCATGTGTGGAGATACATCCCCAATTCAGTAAAGAATTCATTTTAGCAGAGCCCAGTCTTTAGGTCATAGGATCATTAATCTGCTGAATAACAGTTTACCTTAAGGTAGGACTCCTGATCTCACCTTGTACATCTTAAAGCCTATTTTTTATGGAAATCATAGGAATGAAAACTATTTTATCCATCTTACTGTAGCCACCGCTTTTTTAAACGTGTTAAAAAAGTGATTCTCAGTCAGAATCACAATTTTAAGCTCTCCAAAAGGATAAGCAAATTGGCTTTTTTTCTAAAATACCTGCATGCAATGAGAGAGAAGAGTTCTGACAGGTCACACAGATGAGCAGGACACAGATCCTGTCGGGGCTGTGACTCCCTCTCTGCATTACAACATGCTGTATAGTACCAAATCAGGGCCATCACAAAACACAGTGCCTGGGAAAAATTTCCTGCTTGTCCACCTTTCCTTGCCCTGCAGGGGAGTTATGCTTGACTCCTGTGTCCCTGATATACATGACAGTCTGCAGCTCACACCAGCCCTACCACCTAACATACCTCTCCTGTGACTGCACATTCATCTGCCGTCAAACTTGAGCCTGCCTTCCTCTACCACCCTGTGTGCTGTCAGTACAAAACAAGTTACACTTTTGCAAAGTCTCTCCCTACCATTATCCAATTAATTCTTCATGCTTTTTTTTTTTCTTTTAAACAGCATAAAACAGGCATTTGGAAAGCTGTAGGCTAAAGACATTTAACAGGGAAAACTACTCCAGAATATAGATACTGTAGGAAAAGCTGTAATGCTAATGCCACATGCAAGTTATATTTGTTTAGCTAAGCTGGAACGCTGTCAGCTGAAAACACTAGCTGCTTTCTAAGGGAAAATAGAGCAGTCATTTCACACAATTGAATTGATTCAATATGGTTGTTAAAATACATTAAAGCTGCTTTGCCAATTGACTAATGTCTGGGAGACCCATTGTCAATTACACTAGTTTGTAAGCCATCAAGTACATGAATACAAAACAAACAAAGATAATACCCTTCGTTACATTATTCTATGCACTTGACTTCCCCTGTACAATATCTAAAAAAACATGAGCTGCACTGCTGTAGACCATATGTTTTATTAGTCATAATTGTCCTGGCTGGTGCATTCAGCTGACTCAATTTTAGCTACAGCACAGGAAATAAGGAGGAAAAAAGCCCCCACCGTTTTGCATGACCTGCATGGCATGTGAATTAAGCTTCCCTGGCATGTGAAGGCCTCCTTTTGGCTGGGTTGCCCAAAGCTGTGGGTACCTTCATTTTCCTTTGTACACAACGTTTACAGAAACAAAAGCTGGGCTTTGGGACCTTAACTTCCTATCACTGATACAGCATTTAGCCAAGCACGCGTTTACCTCCTTTTTGTCCCTGAAGACATCGATCTCCCTTTTGAGCAGTTCGACTCTTTGGAACGCCTCGAGGCTGGTCACGGCGTACACCAGCACGAAGCCGTCAGCCACAGAGAAATAGTGTTTGGGCAATTCCACGCCCTCCTGCAGACCCCTGGTGTCATACAGCCGCAACTGCTCCTTCACGCCCCGGTCTGTCTCCACCGATGCCAAATACACATCTTCCATTGTGGCACCCTCTTCTAAGCCTGTTTGAAAACAAGCAGGAACGTTCCACTGCTCTAAGTACAGCCTCACTATAAGAATTCTTTGCAGTGCAGCAGAATTTTTCCCCACAGTAGCTTTCAGTGTGTGTTTTACAGAGTGACTCGACCAGGCCTTGACCTTGCCTGGCATCTCCATGGAGGGCTGTATTCATAGATGACTGCACTAGCTATTTCCACTGTAAATACATTAATATGTAAGCACATGATTATGCCTGTAAAATTAATCTATGCAACATGCACATTCAGAATAGGATAAAATATATGCTCTCCTCCCAAGTTTTCCAAACTCCAACCACCCAGTTGTACCAGTTCTGTGCCAAACATGCTGCAAAACGAGCCTGCCCAAACATACCCTTTTGGAACAACAGCCAGGGAACACCAGATAGTCAAGTACTAACATCTTAAGCCTACTTCTTTGCCTCATAATGAGCTGGATCATACTGCAGAAGCAGGAGCCAAAGGAATAATTCTGGAAATGAATGTGTATTAAGTGGTATAACTAACCAATACGTGAAATTAAGCCAGAAAGGGATGTTTGCAGGCAAACAAAGTTCCATACTATATTTACTCAAATACACAGTGAGCTTTTTCCATCCCCTAGGGATTTAAAATTACTCAGATTTGCTAACAGGAACAAGTTCATTTACTGCAAGGCAAGAGCATGCACAAGGTAACAAGCTTTCATATGTGTATCACCTGTCCACCCTGATTATCAGCATACTGGTCCTCCTTCCTTCCTCCTTTCCACACAGTAAATGTGAGGTTATTCAAGGCAGCTTGCTTTGAACTAATTAAAATTATTTTTTCCTAAGCCAAACCTGAAAACACATCAATCACCTTAGCTTTGTGTTCCTCCTGGATGCAGGTGCATAAGGTTGCAGGTTGAGACAATCTATGTATAGTGTAGCTGGGCCACTTTCAGAGTTGGTTTTAAGTATTCATATAAGCCCTCTGCAACCCACGTTTTTGCCTCCACTGCACTCCTATAAACAATTGTTTGCTGCTGCAGGACTACAATAATGAGTCCTGCTTTATTCTCTTTGTCTGCCAAAAAGGGACCATTTTTAGTGTATTGTTTAAGAAAACACAAGGGATTGTCTGGCCTATGAAAATAAGGATTTTGCTATATTCAGTGACACTATTCAAAACACTTCACATTGACAAACAAGCTAAAGCATTCCACCCACGCTGATGGTTTCCCATGATGTATGCAGCATTCCTGTGCAGGAAAGTGGCACAAGCTGTTCTTTTTGCCCCTCTCTGTGCAGTCTTCATAGATCAAACTCTTATTAGGTTTCCAAAGATTTAATTTATCTCACCTCCAAATATAGCCACGCTAATGTGTGGGAGCAAAACTAAGAACAGAAGGACAAAGCAAAGGTTAATGAAAAGAAGAAGCACAAATGCATCCTGTGTGATTGTAGAATGTGTTAAAGAGGCACTTTTAAAGACTGAGGTAGTAACAAAGCACTTTCTGGATATGGCACTGTTGTTTAGACACAGCACTATATTCTTGCTCTGCCTTGCTGCATTGTACAGACAGGTCAAGGAAATATCTAGCATCAGTAAACATGGCTTTGGCAAGAAGGAAAGAACCATAAGTACCTAAGCTTTCTTTTTTTAAAAGCAACAAATAATACTGTAGAGTTTTTCATCCTCTAAATGCTACACTGTAATCCAACAGCCTCTAATATATCCTTGTTATCCTGTGACAATCGCTTCCTAATGGCATTAAAAGCAGCAGTGAAAAGTACGTCTTTTAACATCCTATTTAAAAACTAAGAGGAAAATTTAATACCTGGGACTTAACTCAGCAGAATAGAGCAACAAATTTTGATGTGAAATAGGGAGGGCACTTAGGAGGGAGTTGAAATTTATGCACCAGTATCACATTCCAGAGGTGAAATTTCATCTACATGCACTGGGGGAGGGAGTATATGCAAGTAGTTTCCTAAGTAAACATAGAAAATTTTTAGAAATACCTGTGTCACCTTATTCTAGGCCCTGCTCCTAAAGCCCAGACCATGTACCAGATGTATCTTGCTGACAATGACATTTACACTTCTTGTTAGTAGCATCCCATTCAAACACTCCCTAGGTCTCCATTCAAAGTGGGTCAGGCAAGTTGTTGCAAGAGAAGCAACACTAGTCATTGTCCTAGAAAGGTGCTGGCACCATCCCATCCTCCCTGCCACAAAGATCCTGATTCTCCTTCCCTTCACTGGCATCCTCAGGCATCTTTCCACCACCGCTGCCTGGGTGGGCAAGGGCAGCTTGTGCTGGGAAGTTCCTGTCCTGCTGCCAGTTTGAGTAGTTTTTCCACGGAGCAGAGCACTACAGTGGGCCAGCTTTCAGGTTCAGAAGTTGAAGGGGTGAAGGGAAACTAATAACATAGTGCCAAATGTCACACTTCTTTTGAAAACTAAAGATATAAAAAATATTGAGAGGGAAAGGAGGAATAGACAGAAGTGATGCCACTCTCTAGCACCTACTTAGCTGGTGCAAATCTTAGGAGAGGCAGAAAGGTCTTTGTTTTTTACCAACTGCTGCCACAGAGGAACTGCAACGGGAAGCCTCCGTCACAAATTGGGTGTTGTTCCAACCCCTTGTGGCTTCCCAATGAGGAAAAGAAAAGGCTCAATATACTAATACTGCACACTTAGGCTAGGCACAGCAGATAAACTGCAAATATCTAAGTAAATCAAAATTTCAAGAGGGATGGAAATTCAGAAGTTCCCAGTTGGATCTTGAACATTAATGCAGTACAAATTCAGTGTGTTCTTGAGTACTTTTGAAGATCTCCTGTGTAATCTCTTTTTCCCCTTTTCCAGAGGAATTCAGCAAAGAGCTCCTAAAACCTGCTATTCCTTATGTTTGTAAACTGCAGAATAACAGATTTTCTTATTTAAATCTCAAAAGACAGTGTATCAGAGGATCCCTGACTTGGGAAAGAGCTGGACAAACCTCAAGAGGAGCTGTTGTGATTAGATTTAGCTGCTAGGGAAGTACTGGTCCCACCAACAAATAGCCAGGTCTTCATGCTTAGCTATATACATTCAGCTATATACATTCAGTTCCATTTTCATCTATTTCTAAAATGCAAAGCTGACTGCAACTCTATCACCAGGTAATTTTAATTTAAGGAGTGAAGATGTAAAAAGGTGTCTCTGCCCACGGCAAGGGGGTTGGAAGAAGATGATCTTTAAGGTCCCTTCCAACACAAATAATTCTATGATTCTCTGAATGCATAATTAGGTTAATTATCCTCCACATCCAAAGTGTGTAAGCCAAAACCCAAATCCCTCCAGCTGGAACAAGTGAGGCAATTTCTCTCATTATGGCTCCTACCACAGTAATATATGGTGTTTTCATTCCTAGCTAGTAAGAGGATCTGAAGTAGCTGCTTGTGAATAACGTGACCATGCCAGCTGTTTACACAGCCAGGAGGCAGAGATAAGTTTTCTACAATGGAAAGTTCTCATCTCCTCCTGTTGAGCTGATAAGTTTTAGTGTAGGCTGAAAGGCCAGAAATATTTTAAAGGCAGAAGAAAGACTCCTTTCTGCACCATCACTGAACAGGAACACTGTTTAAGGAAAAATATCCATCTTCTTTACAGACATGTCCTGTACCAAAGCTAAGCCAGAAAGTCTCCTGCTAGCCTGGTCAAGAGAGGTCAGGCCAAGCAGTGCCAGGTACCACAGGTACTTAGTGGGACAATCTCCTGCTGCTAGTCAAGGACCCTTTTCATGACTGAGGAGATAAACTGGCCCCTTCAGGACAGCAAGGTGGAGGATTTGGATGAACACAACATTTAAGTCACAAAAAGAGAGATCATCCCAGGTACCAGGCAATCACTGAATCATAGAATAGTTAAGGCTGAAAAAAATTTCCAAGATCATCGAGTCAAACTGTTCAATCAGCACTGCCAAGCCCATCACTCAACCATGTCCCCAAGTGCCATATCTGGTTTTTGAACCCTTCCAGGAATGGTGATTCCACCAGGTCCCTGGGCAGCCTGCTCCAATGCCTGAGTAGCCTTTCCCTCATTTTTCCTAATATCCAATCGAAACTTCCCCTAGCACAACTTGAGGCCATTTCCTCTTTTCCTGCTGTTCGTTACTTGGGACAAGAGACTGACCCCACCTGGCTACATCTTCCTGTCAGGTAGCTACAGAGAGCAATAAGGTCCCATTTTAGAGCCTCCTTTTCTCTGGGCAGAACACTCCCAGCTCCCTCAGCTGCTCCTCATCACAGTAGTGTACCAAACCCTTCCCTTCACCAGCTTAATTCTCCTTCTCTGGACACACTCCAGCCCCACAATGTCTTTCTTGTAGAGAGGAGCCCAAAACTGAACACAGGATTCTAGGTGCTGCCTCATCAGACTGAGCACAGGGGGATGATCACTGCCCTGGCCCTGCTGGTCACACCATTTCTGGTACAGGCCAGGCTGCCATCAGCCTTCTTGGCCACCTGGGCACACTGCTGTACCTGTATATGTACCACATACACATGTGCAATCCTCAGCAACGATTTGCCCTGACCTATGGCAATATATAGTCCCTACATGACTCAATGCTAAATCTGCACCCATTTCAAACATTTCCTTTCGGTTTTTTTCTAATTCCTTGTATTAGTTTGGTGAGAGTGTCTGCCTTGCAATAGCTACATTATTTTACATGGCTCTGAGAGTGTCTCTCATTTATTTGTCCTCTCCTTTCCCATCTTGGGACACAAGGCAAATTCCCTTGCAGTTTAAAGCCTAGCACAAAATCCAGTATGAGACATCATTGCTCACACGCTACAGGGACACAGATAGCCCTTTTTGGGGGTATTCCTCCTTCCTGAGTACTTTTTCCTCTTTGACTCAAGCAATCTCAGTGCCTTTGCAAGACTGTTAGCTGCTGGCCACGTAAGTAACAGCGGCACTCAGGGACTTCATCCATGACAAACCAGGGAGACCTGAAGGTGCTTGTTTTTCTAGGAAAAGAAACAGTGCAACTGGGTTTACAGCACCATCACCAAGCACACAGCCAGGAGCACGGGCTCAAAGCCAAGGGCTTTACATAGCAGCGTGAAACCTCCAAGGACTCTAATCACTTCCCTGACACCAGCTGTGCCACCACTCCTTTTTACAGGAAAGTCAACAGGAGGCACGTGAGCATTGACAGACTTGTGGCTGATTTACAGCCAGGAGGAGGCCCTCGTGACAGGGGCTGTGACACCTCGGAGACACCTTGTGCTCTGAGCCTCCAACCAAGTTTTTACAGGAAAGTCAACAGGAGGCACGTGAGCATTGACAGACTTGTGGCTGATTTACAGCCAGGAGGAGGCCCTCGTGACAGGGGCTGTGACACCTCGGAGAATGGCAGCAGACCTTGTGCTCTGAGCCTCCAACCAAATTCTAGCGTGCCTCTTGTCACTGAGAGGGGCATGTGCCTGCTATCAGAACGGAAAGACTCCCTCTGTTGGCTCGGCCATCCTCCCCACGGCTCCTGGGCCCTTGGAGCGGCCGCAGAGCTGTTCCTGACGTCAGTCAGGAAGCACAGGTTTTGAAACAGCTTGTGTCCATGTTGCCATGCCTGGTGAGCTGCCTTGGTAGTTGGCTCTGAACCGACAGGCTTTCAGCAAACACACTAGTCCCTTCTTGCCTCCAGCCAAAAAGGCCAGCAGCCAAGATGTACATATCAGCTTTCTGGAGCTCACAAACTTTAGGAAACGAGGATCAGGATCCTGTAATCATGTTTCAGGTGTGGAAGGGCCGACCCTGCAATGGTAGCACCATTGTGCAGTTTAAAGCAGCTCAGCTAAGGAGCAGTCAAAGACTCACCATTCCTCAAACTATGTCTTTGTGTAGTGAGATCCTCACAATGGCATCCTGCCCCTGCAATTCAGCAGCTAAATCAATACAGAGTGGAACAGTAGCTGAAGGTCTTCTGGGAACCATTTCCACCAGCCCATACTCCAGGCAACCCCTGCCACAACTGCCTATGTGCTGAGGAAGAGGCAGGGAGGATGGTGACCACCCAGCAGGACTGCCAAAATCACAAGCTTGTTGGTCCATCCCCTCAAATGTGCCTGATGGCCTGTGTAAGGGATATCAAAATTGCTGGGCCATGGGAAATCATCTCTTGGGGGTGCAGCAGCTCCGTAATGACCCTCTCCATATCCTCATCTTGTTTCTGCTACTTGCCCTCTTTCTCAGAATGTCTTAGGAATATGACTTGACCAAAATCACAGAAAACAGGAAACTACCTTCTTCCTTCTCCCCTTGCACTCTCCATCTGCTATCAGCTGTTCCTTCCCTTACCAGTAACTCCAAAAAATAAGAGCAGAGCTGCAGGCAAGGCAAAATGATCTTTTTAAGTGCAGGGCAGACAGGGGGGAGGTCTGTGTTGCTCAATGGCCAAGCTGGAGCAGGGCATTTGGGAGTGACAGAGGGACACCCACGGCTAAACCCCAGGCACGAGGCCTCCCTCCGGTTATGTCAGCCAGAGTCCATGACGTTGTATAATCATGTACATGGCTGGCTCCATAAATAGCTCCTCTGATCAGCAACACCCGAATATCCTTCCTGCCGGGGTTGCTAATAGGAGGCAGGAATTAATGCAAGGCAATACGATTTAAGTAACGTGGCCTTGCTCGTGCTGCTCGGGTGTCTCTGACAGTCACCCAGTCCGGCACAGAGGAGAGGCAGGGCGGCAGCAAAGGGAAAAACCTTCAGCCTGTAAAGCTTTGCAACCTTCATGTTGAAAACTACACGGGGCTACGTGCCTAGCACTCAGTAGGATGCTGGAAACAGATGTTGCTGCAACATTAGAGGAAATCCTCCTTTTAAACACGGGTATTAGCACACAGTTCTGTATCACGCTTTGCCAGCAAATTCCTCCCATCCACACATTTTAAAGGTGCAGTGCTGCAAAGCGCCATGCTAGAAATCCTTGTGTTTATCCAACAACTTATCCCAATGTGTAATTTACCGGCTCAAGAAAAAAATGCAAAGTGACTAAACATCTCCTGTCAAAGCCCTGGTGCCACCCCTTGTTTCTAGGTGAGGCAGGAATAAACTGTCAGCCTGATGATCATTGCCCTTCCTTTCAAAGCCAAATGTGGAAATAGAGGGAAACATGCAGGCTCTGCCTTTGTTCCCTTTCTTTTGTGCACAGCAAATATCAGGCATCCCCTGTTCCTCTGTCAAGTCTGTTTTCCCCATGGGGATTTTTTAGAGAGTGGAGACACTTGGCCTTCAAAATTCAGCAGAGAACGTGAAACCTAAAGCTGAGCTGTTTTTCTTTCCAGAGCTTTGATTAAATGTTAGCCAAAACCAAGTAAAATAAAGATTTAAGAAGATGAAACAAAAGTCTAAACAGTGTCTACACTCATCATGTGACAGCTATTTATTTTTCAGACATCCACGGCATCTTTCAGGGACAAGATATTTCTTTTGTAAATACGCAGCAGGCACAACACCTACTTTCAGTGTTTGTTTCTTTTTAAACATTCTTGTGTTTTATTACTGGGAACATCATGGAATGGGTTCTTCTCCACGACTCCTTTAAAAATCCATAAGCAAGGGACTGTGAATTTTAAGAGCAGCCCAGAGATGCTACACAAAACCATATTAATTTCCTCCTTCACCTCAGTGCAGATCGCAGTCCTCCATTATTGGTGTTTTGGGGCCCACACCGACCAAGATGCTAGAAAAGGAAACAACCTCCCCCCAAAAGTAAAAATGTCTCACCAACAGTATGCTTTCCATAGAGAAGCTGCTCCAAAATCGCAGTCTTTCCCACCGAGGCCATTCCACAAACCACCACCTTGTAGCCCTTTCCCATGCTTCCCGAGGGCCGGTTCCACGGTGGAGCCCTGTGCAGACACGGGAGGCTGTGAGCCTGGCACGGCACAGGGATGGGGATGGGGATGGGGATGGGGATGGGGATGGGCACGGGTGGGAGCCGAGCCCACGGAAGGCGCAAGGCAAAGCGTGAAGCAGCGGGGGCACAGCTCCCTCCCAGCGCTCGCCAGCAACTGATATTTTTAGGACTAGAGTTTCCTCCCACACTATTTTTTCAGGTTTTAGGCTGCTGCCAGTGGTGCTGATGCTTGCCTGCAGCCTCGACACTCGTCCTGTCAGGTTTGGGGAGACCGGGAGTGCTGGAGCATGCACACCCCCGGGGCAGGGGCTGTGTTTGTTGGCGTGTGTGTGCACGGCGTTATCGGGCTTCCTGGGTTTGCAGTGGGCTTGATGGTATCTCATGGTACCAGGATGGCCTCTGGAAATGTGGTGGCAAGAAAATGGTGGTTCCTCCCCTTTTGTTCTGCTGATAGAAAGTTTCTAGCTTTTATGGACGAGGAGCTACAAAACAGGAGCGTTAAAGGCAGAAGCACAGGAAAGCAAAGGCAGAAAGCAGGTTTTTTTGGTTGGCTTTAAAGCAGTTTGGTGGGTGGGGGGTGGTTCTAGCAGGAGGCATCCAGCAGCTTGGGGCACTTCCCTCTGCCAGCGAGCCATGGCAGGGCAGCAGGCCCTGACTCTGCTGTTTGCAGCCACTTCCCACAAAGAGAGGTGAAGAGTACCTTTTCTGGACCAGGAGGGGCTGGCGTTGTCCTGCTTCAATTCCAGTTTAACCAGGTAATGCTTCACAAGCCAGGGTGCTCAGAAAAGCATACACTGAAAAACAGAAAGGTCCTCTTGCAGCCGCAGGTGGGGAGGAAGAAAGGACTTGCAGGCTAGGAAAACCTAACTCATAGAATCATAGAATGGCTTGGGTTGGAAGGCAGCTTCAAGATCCTCTCCCTCCAGCCCCCTGCCATGGTAGGGATGCCACCACTCAGACCAGGTCACTCAACACCCCATCCAACCTGTGCTGTGCCATATGCAGGAGGGAGGGGAGCAGGGACAGGAGCAGTGGGTAAAGCCAGGGCCTGCAGAACCAGGGACTCCATGGTGCCTTCTCCCTGCCCTCTGCTGATCAGGTTTTAGGATTGGTTTTAAGGCTTTTTTTTTTCTCCCTTAGCATTTATTATTTAGAAGAGAATATAATAGAATCATTAGGTTGGAAGAGACCTCTTAGATCATCCAGTCCAAACATCAACCACTGCAACCACTAAGCCACATCATCCAGCACCAGATCCAGATGCCTCTTAAGCCCCTCTAGGGATGGTGACTCCACAACCTCCCTGGGCAACCTATTCCGATGCCCGACTGTCCTAACAGTGAAAAATTTTCTCCTAATACCTAACCTGAGTCCCCCCTGTCTCAGCTTAGGGCCATTTCCTCTGGTCCTCTCCCTGCAAAGTGACCGGCCTCAGCCTCACTACATTCTCCTTTCAGACAGGGATGAGGTTCCCCCCGAGCCTCCTCTTCTCGAAACTAAGCAAACCCAGCTCCCTCAGCCCTTCCTCATAATCTTACGATTTTTAAAATAATTATTATTTTAGAGATATATTTTTTAAGGCTTCTTTTCAGGGTTTTAAGCAAAGTCCCACCCCACTCCCTGGCCTGGGGCTCTTATGGGGGCAGGGGAGAGGGGGTGTCTGCGGGATGCCGCATCTCGCCAAGCCCCTGCCCCAGGCGCAGCCCCGGCCGGGCCGTGCCCCAACCCGGGCCCGGAGCGCGCCCTGGCGCTGTTGCTCAACGGTGGCGCCGGGCCGGGCCGGGCCGGGCGGGGAGGGACGCGCGGCCCGCACGCCCGCAGGACTACATTACCCATGAGTCAGCGCTGCCGCCGCCGGAAGTGTGTTGTGGCCCGAGGGTTTGTGGGAAGTAGGGCCTTTCCTTTCCGTCGCTGGGCGCCATCAGGTGAGGGCTGGTCCGCGCGCGGCCTTTCCCTCAATCCGCGCCCATCCCGGGATCCGGGCGCCCATCCGCCCGTCCCGCCGCCGCGCCCGCCCGGCTCCGGCTGGGATGGGGCTGCTCGTGCGGCGCGGAGCCTCTGGGAGGCCGGTGGAGAAGGGCCCGCGGGCCGCGCCTCGGTGGGGCGGGGAGGGGAGCGCGGCACCCCGGGTGGCCCCGGCGCGCCAGAGCGGGTGCAGGTCGGTGACAGACGGCGAGCCCTGGTTTGCGCCGGATTTGCGGTTTGATCGTGGGGGTTTTCTGTGCCATTAGGCCGTGAAAAGGTGGGGTGGCCGGGGATGGGAATGGATGAGCTGTCGGTAGGCAGGTTCAAACAAGAGGGGTATCCAAAATCACTCTCGAACTGTTTTTTGCGTGTTTTTACATGTAAATAAAGTGAGCTGCGTGTGTCTGATAGTGAGTTGGGTGGGGGCTTGATGGAGATCAGGTACACGTGCTGATTGCTGCAGATGTGTAAGGCCTCAGAGATTTTTAGGAAAACAGCAGTAAACATGATAACAAAATAAAGTAATAGGTGATTTTTGAAACGCCTTCAACTATTAAGACATAGTTATTTGAGACATATTGATATTATATTCATATTATTGAGACATATTCCGCTTATAAGAGGGAGTTTGTAATAATCATTGTTTTCTTAAGGACAAAATTTTACCTGTAAGAACTTTATCTTGATCCTTTGCTGAAGTCTATACAAACTATCCCCGATGGTGCTCAGTAGAAACGATTTTTAAAAACAACTTTATAAAAACCCACAGGGCATCTGTGGAGCAAAACACAAATGTCAGTAGCAGTAGGACACCGAGCTGTGACACATCTTTTTTAGCACGACACGGTCAGTAATGCCTCATCTTACTTAAAGCCCAGTTTCAGCAGATGTGCAGGAAGGTCTTGTCTCTCCTGAGATGTGGGAGGCACCGTGTGAATAGCTCTAAGGAAGCAAAAGTCCCAGTCCAGCTCATTTCTTAAGCAACTGTTAAACTTCCACTTTCTAATAAAACTGTTAAGCTTTCACTTAGAAGTAAAAACTTTACTGAAGTCAGAGTTAGCAATAAAGGCCACACTCCTCACAGTCCTGTAGTTCTTGATAGATTTGTATGCAAAACTCAGGTCAGGTGTTAATTGTTGGGTTTGGTAGTATCAGACATAGCACAGCTGAAAATTTCTCAGTTGAGGAGTTTAACACTCCAGAACGAATAAAAGAGGAAGAGAATTGCTGGGAATGGTGCCTGCAGGGTGTCATGCTGAAGGCTGCCAGGTGTGATCCGTGTTCCCAGATGTGTCAGTGGTACAGGGAAGCGGGAGAGAGCTCCCTGTCTTTCAGTGGTGCAGTGCCCTCATTGGAAGATGTTGACTGGCAGTTGTTCCTGGTGCACTGTTTTCACTGAGCTCTCTGTCCAGCAGGTAGACAGACATGGGTGCCTACAAGTACATCCAGGAGCTCTGGAGGAAGAAGCAGTCGGACGTGATGCGGTTCCTGCTGCGCGTGCGCTGCTGGCAGTACCGCCAGCTGTCGGCCTTGCACCGCGCCCCGCGCCCCACGCGGCCCGACAAAGCCCGCAGGCTGGGATACAAGGCCAAGCAAGGTAATGGCACGGACAGCTGAGGTCCCTGTGCCTCACCGTGGAGTGACATGGCTTCCTTTGGTGACAGCAGAGTAACAAAGTCGGAAACTGAAGTATCCCCCAATAAACTGAAGTGTCCTGTATGAAACGAACAGAATATCATAAATGTCCTCAGTTGGTAGCAGTGCCCACAGCCTAAAACCTTGACTTAATTTCACATCTCTGCCTTCTGTTGCTGTTCTGGCAGGTAAAGATCAAGTGGGCTTCGGCCTCAGTTTCTGTTCTTGTGCAATGTTAGTGCCACACAATTGAGCAGGGGTTTTAGTATCCTAGGTTAGGGGGATGTCCTTACTCTGCCCAAGTTTTGTCAACTGTTACTTTGACTTCTTTCAGGCGACTGAACTGTGACCTTCTAGAACCTTGAAAAGAGCTACAAGAGATCTGGATAGAGACTTGCACAAGAGCATGTAGTGACAGGACAGGGGAAATGGTTTCAAACTGAAGGAGCAGGTTTAGATTAGATACTAGGAAGAAACTCTTTACTGTGAGGGTGGTGAGGCGCTGGAACAGACCACCCAGAGGAGTTGGGACTACCCCATCCCTGGCAGCGTCAGGCTGGATGGAGCTCTGAGCAAGCTAGTGTGGAAGGTGTCCCTGTCCATGGCAGAGGGGTTGGAACTGGATGATCTTTAGGGTTCCTTCCAACCCAACCCATATTATGACTGTATTACAGCTGCAGGCACTCGAGCAAGATGATGGAGTTTGTACTGTCATTGAAAAACAGTTACTGGTCAGGGAAAGAAATGGAAAAAGTGGCCATCCATGTGTAACTGGTGGAAATCCATTTAAAAACCTAGTATATTTATACACAAAGAAAATAAAAAGCTAGGACTTGACACTTCTGTTACTATTTGTCTAGTTTTGTCATTTCTCAGTGACCAGATTTCAGCAGGGTTTGTGGATGGCTTGTGCTGCAGTACTTTTTGAGTGCTGCCATCCGAATTGTGCAGTTTGGGTAGTGGTTTTGCTGTTTTGGTGGTTTTTTTTTTTTTTTTTTTTTTTGGGGGGTTTTTTTTTAATGATTGTATTACAGTATAGCTGTAGCTGATCTTAGTTGGTTTGGGACAGGATAGTGAAAAGGTGCCATAAGCACTGGTTTGGAGCCAAAACCAGTTGCATCAGGATATCCCTTTCCTTACTCAGTTGTGATATGACTGAAGATAACAAAACCATCTTGCACTATCTTCCTCAAGTTGTGTATTTTGGTAAAAATTGGTGAAATGACTTAGTGTTGCAGCACTTCATGTAAATTTTGGGGGATTGGAAATGCAGTACAGGAATGAAAATTGTTACTAGAATTGCTCTAGTTCTTAAGTCACTCTTTGTTCTAGGTTACGTTATTTACCGTGTCCGCGTTCGCCGTGGTGGCCGCAAACGCCCAGTCCCCAAAGGTGCAACCTATGGTAAACCTGTGCATCATGGTGTCAACCAGCTCAAGTTTGCCCGGAGTCTTCAGTCTGTAGCAGAGGTGAGTGTTTTGGTTATTGCTCACAAATTTGGGTTGGAAAGTTTTAGTCTGTAAAAGCTGAAAATACTCAAGAGGCAAAAAATACAAGACCAAACCAGCTGTTTTGTTAATAAGTTGTTGGTAAGATTTTGAATAATGGTGGCAGGAAAGCAGCAGTCTTTAAAAACTATTGAGACAATACAAAAACTATTCAGACTTTTAAAATGGGGTCTATGGGAACCACTTGAGTGGTCTAGTGAAGTTCATACTTCTCAAGTATGCCACAATATTTTGTATGAAAAACACATAACTAGTCCAGAAAATAAAGCCACAGAAAATAAAGAGCTGGGCATGAGAAGTAAGAACTTGCATGTGCTAAGGTGTGGATCACCAGCTGTAGGTGATGGTCCTTTCACAAAGTACACGTGAGTTCCTGTCCTAAAGCCTGTAGCACCTGTTTGTGTAGTAGTGCTGCACAGCATGCTTAGCTGTATTGCAGGAGCTGAAGGCAGTGTGCCAGAGAAATTGTGCTTCTTTATAAAAAACTGGTACCTCACAAGCACACAGCTTGGTGGTTAACTTATTTTTAGGTGAGATCTTGTTACTGAAATACTCAAAATGTAAACTTCGGTTTGATGAGATCTTGTAAGCTTCATTGCTATCACAGTTGTAGTCTGGAAGAGGTGGAGTTCTCACCTTTACCAAAAAACCCCTCTTTCAGTGGGTTAGAGTTGATAGCAGGCTGCATTCTCAAACTAGACATTGTGGAAAAAGGGTGAGTGTCATTGCCTTTCCATCTTGAAGCAGAAGACTATTCTCAGGACTTTGAAAATATTGCTGAGTGACTTCTGCAAGTTGAATATGGTGGGATTTTTTTTTCAGGGAAAAAATATGAATGGGTCATGCTTATTTAAGAGAAATACAGGTGATGAGTTTGAAAATTAAAAATACTGTTCTGTTTTCAGTGCTGATGGCATTCTCTTAATATGTGTTATTCCCGGACACCTGATGGCTAATCACATGCTCACTTAGGTCAGCTATGGTTATTTCCCTCAGTTTTAGCTTCAAATTTTCTGAATCTGGCACAGT